CATCTGTAAAAAGCTTAAATCCCATTTCAAAAAAGTAGCTGGAAATTACAATTCAATTACGAACAATTCACTACATTATTAATTCGAATTGAAGCGTTCTCAATTCACGGCCTCGCAAGATCCTCCGATTTCACAGCCTTAACTCCAGGGCACTTTCTCAAGGAACACCCATTCTGGCCATACCTGAGCCAGGCGTGGAGTCGCTATCCTTATTAAATCACTGGGAAAAATTAAAATTCTCCATCACGATTTCAGCCGCCGATGAAAGAAGAATATATAAAGGATCTCCATAAACGATACCGTTGGAAGACTCCTGAACAAGCACCAAACTTGGAGATTGTGTCATCATCCATGATGATTGTCTACCTCCTACCGAATGGCGGCTGGGTGCATAGAAGTACATTACGGCTCCGACGGTCACATACAGTGGTTGATCATCGTACACAAAGCGGAAGGCTAACCAGACCGCTCGTGAAGTTATGCTTTCATCCAACCGCCGATAATAGCGACACAGCAAATCGCAAACAATCAATACCACCGCAATAAAATAATCAAATCAAGAAGCAAAAACCGAAAACTCGTTAATAACCGTTAAAATAACAAATAACTAATAAAAAATGGCCGATCAATACGATGACCCATTCATGCCATATAGCGTGGCACGATCATCCATATCCTTTATATGACAATCTGCATAATTAAACAACTCTTTCATACAGATTAACATGGATGTGGATACGCCAATATGGATCATCCATATCCTTTATATGACAAATCTGCATAATTAAACAACTCTTTCATACAGATTAACATGGATTTGGATACGCCAACAACTTCACGCCAACTGTGCGGTCGGCTACCAACGTGCCGCGCACGGGTCTACCCAATGCCCGATCTGCAGCTGCAACTGCCCTGAAAGTGCACCTGCAACGACACCGATATCAGCACCAGTTCCGCAACCACGTCGTTCCACGGGTCTGAGCAGCGTTGTGCAACGCTACAACAGCTGCAACGACTACTAGGCTAATCATTTGCCTAGGGGGCGGATGGCTAAATGACCACTCAATCCCCCTCACCATAAGACACTGTCACACCACACCAATTCACATCCACACCACCACACCTACTTACCATACATTCCACATTTACATACCATACATTCCACATCACTATACCATGCACCAACACGCACACAAATACAACTAACACCGATCACACCACCATTAAGACATCAGCAGATATATAAGGGACTAAAGAATGGTCCCGCCCGCTTTTTAGCATTTCGACTCGCTAGCGATCAGATCTTCGAGCACCCGCCTAAATCGACTCCTTTTGTTTTAATTAGTATAATAATTTGCCACGGTGAGTGAAGTTAAATTAACTTGTTAAATAATTTAAAATCAGATTAGATTAAATAAACATAACTAATGGATTAGAATTTTCTTTTAAGATCTTAGTAAAATTAGAGTTAGAATCAATTAATATTAGGAAATTCTTTTCAAAATTCGCAATTTAATTTGAAGTATGTAAGTCCAGAAAAAACTTAATATAATAGGTCTCTTTGTTGATTATCTTTTGTTTTAGTCGTACGAATAGGAAACTATTTTTTAAAAATTTTTAATTAAATTAAAATCGTAGTTTAAGTTGACTTGCTATTTCGGTTAAAAAAAAAAACTTATATCTTTTTCTGTTGTTGATTATCTTTTGTTTTTAGTCGTACGAATAGGAAACTATTTTTTAAGAATTTTTAATTAAATTAAAATCGTAGTTTAACTTGACTTGCTATTTCGGTTAAAAAAAAAAACTTATCTCTTTTTCTAAATGGTAAGTATTTACATATTTTTTACTGCGGCACATACTAATAATATGTCAATTTGTGCATAGGTAATCATACACATAGAACTGAGTAACTTTTGTACAAAAATTATAAAGTAATGTCTGGAAGGCGTCGTCGTTCGAACATAGGTCGTAGTACAGTGAATGCCAGAAAAGTACGTTCGGGATAGATATAGAGCTGAGACAGAATCTTCAGTAGAGCGTGAGGTTCGCCACAGCCGGGATCGAGATAGGCATACGGTTCAGAGGGACAGAGAATCGTCAGTAAAGCGTGAGGCTCGACTCAGTCAGCTTCGGGATAGATATAGAGTTAAGAGAGAGAAATAGGGAATCTTCAGTAGAGCGTGAGATTCACCGCATCCGAGATAGGGATAAACATCGAATACAGAGAGCTAGAGAATTATCAGCACGAGTTACCAACTCATGGGTAAATAAAAAAAATTCTGCCATGAATTACGATCCTTCGATTTTTTACAAGGAAGATCGTATAGTATCAATAGGTACTATGTCAGTAGTGTGTGAACATTGCTTTGCATTGAAATTCAAGGACGAATCGAAAGGCATGTGTTGCTTGCAAAGAAAAATCAAACAATCATTCATCCAAACAATTCATGCGCAACATACGCCGTTATATTAACGCATTTCATATGACCTATTTTAAGAGTAAGCAAGTTGTTGAGCGTGTGGCGAATGAACACCGCAACGACAGTGGGCAGTTGGACGCCATGACTTACTAACCGATGTCAGCTAATATTACTCAAACTCAGATTTAACTAACACTGCCGAATGCACAAGAGAAACATCATAGGATCAAATGAGACTTTTACAAAATATAACTCAAGATGAGTCACGACTAAACATCGATCAAAAAGAGTATTCAATGCAATGAAGGGAAATTGCTTTTGCTTGATGTACCAGGAGGTAAAGAAAAAACATTTTTAATCAATCTGCTGTGAGATCTACCGGAAAAAAAGCTGTTGCGTCGTCTGCCATTGCCGCTACGCATTTGGAAGGAGGCCGAACCGTACACTCTACATTCAAGCTCCCGCGGAAAATCACAACCAATGATAATAACCGCGTCTGTAGTGTTTCTAAACAGAGCAATACAGGAAAATTTATGCGTGACTGCTCATTAAAAGACTGGGATGAAGCTACCTTGTCAAACAAGACGTCTGTGGAATCACTGGATAGGACAATGCGCGATTTGTGCAACAAAAAATTCATCTATGGATGGATGTACAATTCTGTTCTTTTGGTTACATGTAGCTAATAAATTAGAGCTTAAAATTTATATGAGGGTTTCGTCATCTTCACGTGAGAAGAGGCTATTTCCAGGAATGCTGTTCAAAGGTGGCAATGACGAGTTAACACAAAGTGAGGGAAGGAATAACATACAAAACCTTTGTGTTTTGATAGACAACATCCAAGAGTTAGTCAATAATGTCTATCCTGACATTGATAACATAAGTCATACGACAATATCTTGGTTTAAAGAAAGAGCGATTCTGCAACCAACTAACGAACAAGTAAATAAGGTAAATAACTTGATTCTTTCAAAGATTGATGCGTCGACGAAATTATACTACTCGGTCGATACTGTTCTTGATTTGAAAGAAACTGTTCATTTTCCTACAGAATTTTTAACTCTTTTACCCCCGTCTGGACACCCTTCTCACAAAATGGTGTTGAAAGAAGGTTGTCCTGTTATTTTACTAGGAAATCTGAATCCACATAAATTTTGCAATGGCACGCGTTTGCTGGTAAAATTACTGAAAACTTTCATAATAGAGTGCACAGTACTCACAGGATGTGTTACCGGAAAAGATGTATTGATTTCGAATCCCTCAGATACCATCGGATTTACCCTTCCAATTTCAACGTTTACAGTTTCCGGTATAGACATCTTTTGCAATGACCATTAATAAATCGGAGGGTCAAACCCTCAACATTGTAGGCTTAGATTTTAGCGTTGACTGTTTTTCACATGTCCAACTGTATGTCGCTCTTTCAAGAGTAACCTCTAGAGAAAACATGTTTGTATTGTCTAATGACAAGAATGCAGTGAATGTTGTATATAACGATATTCTGCAATAAAATAAAATATATACGTGAAAATGTAAAAAGTTGTAGTGCATTAATTTAGTTATTCCAAAGATAGCAGAAAATCTTCACGATATAGGGAAAGTGGAATTGTTTATAATATCACAAATTTCGAACATCTGGCTGACTTTACTCCCCATAGATTGGTGATGGTATGTGAGGTGCCTTAATTAAACCCAGGGAGCATTTTGTTTGTTCGTCGTATGTTTATGGTATGTGGTATTGGCAAAAATAAAATCGGATCAATCTTTCCTTAACTCCTATATGCTACATATATCTATTTCAATTTTTCTAACAGGTTTTATGGCGAATATATCGTTCAGTGTGTAAGTTATATATTTAAAAATTGCTTGAAAATATGTTCTCATGTATACCAGAGCAATAACACCATTAATTCATTATATTTTTAAATGCCTTTATCTTACTGGTAAATTTTCTACATATTTTGTTAAGACTTTTGTCAGATGGAGATCTTGTTTGTTGTCACTTTCGGCTTAGTCGGCGTTTTTCCGCTCCCATTTCTTTAATTTCTTTGTTATACGTGTTTATTTGATTGGTTGTAAGTTTCTTTAAACTGGGGTACTACTCCAGACTACATATTGTGTTTGTCAAGTTTAAAATTTTTAGCTTATTTTGAAGTCATCATCATCAGACAGCATTTGCTTAAAGTATTCCTAGTCAGTGTTTTTATTTGTTAATGTAAAAGGCGGTTCCTTAACAACTTTTTCGTGTAGTGTTAAATATATCGGTGAATGGTCCAACACAATATCCAAACATTTTCTATGCGCGTATAATTTGAAGAGATATGTTTGGTAATGAATAAATCAATAAGATCTGGTATTCCAAGTGGATCTGTTGGCCAGTAAGTTTGTATCCCAGTAGACATTATACTGTACCCAGTCAGTTGAAGAGCTTTTAATAACTCTCTGCCCTTTTTTCACATTAAACTCACCATCCATTATAAATCGGTGTTTGTGGTTATTGATCAGTTCTAGATACCTATCGCATTTTATTTGATGTATTGAATAATACTCTGATCTAAGCACTCGATAGTTGCTGTGGTATTTGCCGGTAAAAACTGAATTTTTAATTCTTTAATTCTGGACCTTTTTGTGACAAGCTGCATTATTTGCAACAGAATAATGTTTTTAAGCAACAGCATTTAAAAAATCTAGTTCCGCATTCGAATCTGCAGATTTCATACCGTTCATGCATGCTTGACAATTTGTACTGGGCGGATTTTGTCTTTATGTCGAGCTCATTTGGCAAATTCTATTCAATGTGGTGAGAGAGCACCCATACTTTTTGCACAGCTCAGACTTGGGCTTGCATTTGGCTTCAGAAAAAATTTAAGCTTATCCTTAATTATAAGAGTTACGTATCGTTTTGCGGTCATAGTCTACAAAAATTAACAATAAAATAAAATTAATTTCCAAAGTTCTTGTCAAATACAAATTAACAAATTATTGTTAAACAAATTAATTACGCTTTATCATAGGTTTCCTTCATCAGTAAACATATGTTTTCAATTGCTTAGTAAACCACCACCACCCAGTGTTTATCACAAATGCTGAGAAATATGTACATGCGCTAATGTCAAAATTTCGAACCAACTAAGCAGGAAAATCAATTAACCGGGTTCAATTATCCGAGGAAATTTACATGTGCTTTCGTATGCTATCATTTTTTTGTCCGATCACGTTTCAATTAACCATACGGTAAATTAATCGAAAAGATATTGTGTGTAAGGAAAATGATATAGTGTTATATATAGAATTGTGTGTAAAAATATAGGAAATTAATATGTACATATGTACAAAACCTTATTTCAATAGTTTTTTATAATGTGAGTTTTAATTTGAATTTAATTTCTTAACTACGTATATATGTGTGTATCGTGTACATATATATGTGTAGATATGTATTCTATTGTCATTGCATACTTCAGATACCAATGCATGGGTATTTTACAATTTCTTAGGTGCATTAGTATTTAGTGTACGCAAGCCTTGTATATTATTTATGATACATTTTTATGAGTAAAATTGTTATAGTGTCTTTCACTATTCCTTTAACGTTACTTTGACCATACACACATACACACGCTATTTAACTCATTAAGAATATTATTAATTGTATTTTCGCAAAGAACTATAAAGTATATTTATAAATTGTACTTTACAAAGAATTGTTGTCCAAGTGCATTTCTGCTAACGAAAATGCAACTGTTAACAAAAATGTATCGTTAATTCCAAATAATTTTATTACTTATTTGCCCAAGTGCATTAATTCCAAAGAACTTTAATAACTTTATTTTCAAGTGNGCTCCACATCCGAGAGTAGAGCTGCCACAAATTCAATGTCAAGAGTCAAATTCAGGCATCCATCTCAGTGTGCCCACAGAAATCTTTCATGGTGGTTATGAACAATGGCCGTCCTTCCGGGACATGTTTACAGCCGTTTACATAAACCACCCAAAATTAACAAATGCACAAAAATTGTATCACCTCCGACACAAAACAAAAGGTCAAGCAGGCGTCATAGTCAAACAGTTCGCACTCAATGACGATAATTTCAATCTGGCTTGGGAAGCTCTAAAAGCGAGATACGAAAATGAAAGAATATTGGTCGATAAGCAAGTAACGATACTAATGAACTTGCCAAAAATTCAGAAAGAAACAAGTGATGAATTTATTAGATTACAATCCACTGTTTCTAATTGTTTGTCGGTTTTATCGACACAAAATATTCCCACAGACAGCTGGGACCCCATTCTGGTAAATATATGCACCACGGCATTACCAGAAAAATCGTTACTTTTGTGGGAGCAATCGCTCTCATCTCGGAGAAAATGCTCAACGTGGCAGCAAATGAAAGAATTTCTAACTACCCAATATGAATAGGCTAGACAAAAACAATTTAAGTAGCAATAACAATTTAAATAGAAGTTTTTTTAAAAATCAATCGTTCACATCCGTACAGTATAAACAAACGTCATGCGAACTGTGTACAGGAGGGCATAAACTTAAATCTTGCGATAAATTCAAAAAATTAAATATTGTCGATAGGAACAATTTTGTGAGAACAAAAAAACTTTGCACAAATTGCTTGTCACGTTCGCATACTCTAAAAGAGTGTGAAAGCAAGTTCAATTGCGTTTATTGTCATAAACGACATCATTCTAGGCTTCATATAAATAATTTTTCCAGTTCACCCACAAACAGCGCAAATACGAAAAGAGCCACGGGTTTAGTTACAACAGCAAATCCCGAAAATTGCCAAGAAGCCCCATGCTGCTCAAAGGCATTAAAAACTCAAACGCCACACAGCGAAAACCAAAGTAGGGTACTACTACCCACAGCAGTCGTCTCAATCGAACACCGAGGAGAGCTGTTTAAACTTAGAGCCTTAATAGACCAAGGATCACAACGATCTTTCATAGCGTCGAGGGCACGAAATAGGCCATCAAGACAATCGAATTTTGAAATTACGGGAATGGGCGGAAGAGTAGTCCAAAACTCAAACAAAATCTGCCCCATTACCCTAACTTCTCAAAAAGCGGATAAGCGCATTCAAGCAGAAGCTATTGTCTTACCGCAACTAACAAATATGCTTCCAAGCTATCACATAAACAGCAAGCATTGGAAAAAGGTTTCACACCTAAAGCTAGCATATCCCAACTGCAACACTCCCGCTCAAATAGATAGGCAGCGATCGCATACCGCAGATAATACTCGAAGGTATTGAGAAAATTTCAAATACACTATTGGCACAAAATACTATTTTCGGTTGGATCCTAAGTGGACTTGTTATAGAACCAGTTACAACCATGACCACTCACGTTGAGGAAATCTCAAACGAATACCTCAATTCACAATTAAAGAAATTGTGGGAGTTCGAAGAGCTCCCCCCTATATCAATTACAACCCCAGAAGATCAGTATTGTGAAGACTTTTACAAAGCCACAACTACTAGATCAGATAATGGTCGGTACGTCGTACGACTACCACTAAAACAACAATTTCCCAACACAATCACCTCAGGTCACTCTCGCACCTCTGCAATACAGCAGTCTTAAAGTATGGAAAAAAACCTACTTAAAAAAGGCGAACTCAAACCAGTATATGATGGTGTGTTGGAAGAATATCTCCATTTAGACCACATGGAGGAAGTAAGTCCATGCGAAACAATCATCAACGGCAAATACTACTCATTTGACTTGCCGCATCATGCAGTGGTAAAGCCAGACAAAAAACAACTAAAGTAAGAGTTGTCTTCAATGCATCAAGATCCACCAGCTCGGGGAATTCCCCAAATGATATCCTATTTACGGGACCCACGCTCCAACCATATTTAATGCTACTCATTTTTAAATTGGCGTATATTTAAATACGTATTTAACGGCGACGTCGAAAAAATGTATAGACAAATAGTCGTACATAAAGACGATCAAGATTTTCAGCGAATTATTTTCCGAAAATCTCCCAATAGTCCACTACGCGACTATAAACTGTGTCAACTGTGCTCCATATTTAGCCATTCGAACACGAACTGGCAGAAAACACAAAGTCAGAATTTCCTCTGGCAACCAAAGTGTTAAAAACTCAAACGTATGTAGACGATATCCTGTCTGGAAGTCATACTCTTTTATAAGCATACGAGTCACTAGCTCAAGTGACACAAGCCCTCAAAACCGCAAGGTTTCCGGTAAAAAAGATAACGGCGAACCACCCTATTATCTTAAAGGACACACCTAAAGAAAATCTGTTGGACACTAATTTCCTTAAAATTCGAAAAGGAAAGTACAACAAAAACTCTGGGGATTCAATGGAATGCGATATCTAACCAGTTTTCATACACTACAGAGCCAATATCAGCATTATCCGAAATAACAAAACGCCAAATTTTATCCTCTGTGGCAAAACTTTTCGACCCCGCAGGATGGCTTTCGCCAATTCTGATACAAGCCAAAATCCTAATACAAGAATTATGGTTAGATGGAACCGACAGGGCGAACAAGTAAAACTACTTCGTTTAGAAAAGTGGTCCCAGTTTGCGAGCAATCTAAATGATATCTCACAGATACAAATCCCACGATGGGTAAATTATGCCCCAGAGCACAAAGTCGAACACACGGCTTCTGTGACGCTTCTGAAAAGGCATATTGCGCAACTATATATGTTCGCACACAAAGCGACATTGCGACCACAAGCCACTTACTAGTAGCAAAAGCAAAAGTAGATCCGTTAAAAACAATAAGTCTGCCCCGACTTGAACTGTGTGGAGCGCTATTACTAGCCAAACTAGTATTCGATTCGATTCGGAAATTGTACTAGCCTGGCTAAAAAAACCACCATATGCATGGAAGACGTATATTTCCAATCGAACGTCTCAAATCCTTGACCTAGTAGGATCAGCCACTTGGCGACATGTAGCTAGTGCTGACAATCCTGCTGATCTAGGTACAAGAGGATGCAAACCCCAGAAATTCGAAAAATCGACTCTTTTCACACAACAGTGGATGATACTGACATCTTCGAACGATTTTCATCGTTCCCACGAGCCCTCAGAGTAATCGCTTATATGCTCAAGTTCATAGAGCGACTCAAAATTAAACTTAAGGAAGTAACTCCATTATATTCCCAATGCGATACAGTGACTCACCTAGACTTACAAAAAGCAAAGGTCGCTCTTATCGCATATACTCAAGCGCGCCAATTCAGCCGCGATATATCACTATTCAGAGAATCCAAACCTATTGACAAGAGAAGTCCCCTCTTAGTTCTAAACGCATTCCTCGACACGAAAGGTCTTCTTCGTGTGAATGGTCGGCTTGCCAATTCAAGCCTAACGTATAACGAACGCCATCTCATAATTGTACCAGAGAAGTCTCGACTCGCCACATTACTCATCAGTTATATCCACATATTAATGCTTCATGCCGAACATCGCCTCATGCAACACATGGTCCGCCTGGAATTTTACATTCCCCGACTTAAGCCCCAAATAAAGAAGTGCATTTTCTTGAGCAAAATCTGTACCACGCACAAGCAAAAGATGTGAACACAGATTATAGCAGCACTTCCTCCGGAACGCTGCAACTTTGCTCTGCCTTTCTCCATCACAGGTGTCCACTTTGCTGGGCCTTTTCAAATAAAGGCGTCCACGTTAAGTTCTCCCACTCTGATGAAAGGCTATGTGGCTGTTTTTGTCTGTTTTACGACAAAAGAGTGCACCTTGAGCTTTGTACTAGTCTGACGAAGGAGGCTTTCCTTGCGGCATTTGCGGGCTTCGTCGGTCGACGCGGCTTTCCATCGAAGATCATGAGCGATAATGGTAAAACATTTATCGGTGCTCAAAGAGCCACCGAAAAACAATTTGTGGGCTTCACACAAAGTGTTAGTGTTATCAAACAAGTCTCACCTGAGATTGTACAAAAGTACGCACCCCAAGGCATTAATTGGCAATTCAACCCCCAAGCGCTCCCCATATGGGTGGTTTATGGGAATCATCTGTAAAAAGCTTAAAATCCCATTTCAAAAAAGTAGCTGGAAATTACAAATTCAATTACGAACAATTCACTACATTATTAATTCGAATTGAAGCCGTTCTCAATTCACGGCCTCGCAAGATCCCTCCGATTTCACAGCCTTAACTCCAGGGCACTTTCTCAAAGGAACACCCATTCTGGCCATACCTGAGCCAGGCGTGGAGTCGCTATCCTTATTAAATCACTGGGAAAGAATTAAAATTCTCCATCACGATTTCAGCCGCCGATGAA